AAGCAAAGACAAGTGATGGATGAGATGAGTGTTGAAAAAATAAGACGACACTTTAAAACACTATATCCTAATTTGTAAATTTCTTTTCATAGAGAAGATGGAGGTCATTGAATAGTCATTTATTCAGACTAAACTATTACATACCTCGGCTTGCAGTTCAAATATAGTGTTTAAAGTCCACTACATATGTTTCGCCATATATGGCATTCTCAAGTGGTTACAGAAACATTTTATCCAATTTGGACTCGTCAACATGTTACTTCAAATATATGGCAAAACATATGTTGTGGACTTCAAACACTATATTTGAACTGCAAGACGAGGTATGTAATAGTTTAGTCTATACTACGCAGTTCATAGGGGCTACAAAATGGAAATTAAGAATATTTATTCAGTGTTTAAACAATACACTATTGTAATAGACATAGTAATTACAAGTGAAGTAGAAGAGCAGCTAGTAAAACCCAATGTAAAAATGTATCTTACAAGTCAACAATGAGGCCACCTTTTAGCAGAGACTAGACTTGTTTTCTCAAAGTTACAATCAATGGCAAAAGTACTGTACTGTAGTTGTATGATCCATATTAATTGATTTCAACAGTAACTACCATCTAATCTTTGAAGAATTCCCATATTGAAACCAAATTTCAGAGTCAGTGTTAGCCATTAACACACACACATCACACACACACACACACGCACACACACACACACACACACACACACTCAGAGTCACATTGAGTTAGTGTTAGGGTCATTGGTACCTTTAAGTAGGCCTAATTAGTCTAATTTTAACCAAAATTAATCATTTAGTTAAATGCTAACACACTTCATTGCATATTTTAAGGTGAAGATAATTTAATGCATGGCTTACTTAAAACTATAGATATCTACTCGCTAACACCTCTAAAACTGTGGAATTGAGTATTAGTGTAGTGTAGTGTAATGTTTGAGTATTGCTATTAACAAGCTAGCGCAAGTTCAGAATTGTCAAAAACCAAAAGTTCAAAGTTCAACCTGTTAAACCACATTGATAATACTGGATATAAACTATTCATCCTGCTTGTCTAGCCTCAGAAACATTGATTCAGGACTTTTTTTACCAAATTCACAGCAGCAGTAAACTAGAAAGCATCCAGTTAAGACGAAGCAATCGCTAAAACATTATGTATACATTTTACTTTACAGACTAGAACATGCCTCAAGATCTTGTTCTACGTGGGTGGCTGTAGGAGATGTAAGTTCGACATCACAACTGCCTTCACCACATGGCGGCCATACTACCACCTCCACCCCTGCTCCACCACCTCCCTTCTTCACTGCTGCGGACCTCATACGATCTGTCAACAAAAAGGTATCTGTCACCTCTATAGTTTCAATGGTCTCTAATCGTTCCGTAAGGCTACGATTATACTAGGACGCTGGCGTCAGGGATGCTAGCGTCCCACTTCGAGCCGAAAATGACGCGATTTGTGTTGGGATGCTACATGTTACCCTCTTAGACTGCTATTTTATTTCCTATTTGTATTTTATGATTTGTAACTTTTTGTATGCAGTATATCTATTTAAATTGCATTAGGCCTAGGTTTAACGAGTAACTAGGTTTGCTGCTTCAGGGAGGGTAATAAAGTGTGTTTTTAGGATATTATTATAGCTTAGTATAAAATAAAATAAAATTGCCAAGTTTGATCAAAATATCAAAATATAACCATAAACAGGAAATTACAACAGTACTCCTTGTATTGGGACGGGTGGCGTAGTCCTGTAATCCAGCTACTAGCAGGTCACGAATTGTGGATATTCATAGGCATGCACTGTGGATGCGATACTCCCTGGTGTGGATTAACGTCCGCGTTGGGTGAGTACTACGACTATCTGCAGAACTATCCTGATAATTAGACCAATTCGTATATACCAAAGGCAAAAATGTGGTTCGGATTCCACTATAAACTGTAGGTCCCTTTTAGTTGCCATTAGCTATATGGGCCATTAATTAACAGCTGTGTCTAAGGAATATGTCGGCCTTAGTCACTAACAAGACTACAAGCCACTCATCCTATACTCATCTCCATTCATAATTGGCTTAAAATACCTACTTTGTATGGTTGCCATTTCATTGAAAAGTATTAAAAAAGTATTAAAAAGTTATACAATATTCTCCTTAAGACTAACATGGGAATTTAAAATTTACATTTTTCTTAATTTTCTCCGTAACTAATAACCGTACAAAAACATTTTAATTTAGTGTCTTAGTATAATCATAGCGTAACACACAAAATTACTGAAGAAGTTTTTTACACTGCATGTGTAAATACAGCAAATCTTAAAGGTTTCAGGGATAAAATGTAAAAACTGTATCAAAAATGCTTTAATAAATCCCAAATCCAAATATATATATATAAGACACAATGACCTTTTCCCTCTCTTTAAATCAGGAAATGTATTAACTTAGTTTTTGTTTTTTTCTTAACAGGTGAAACAAAAGTATAACAGAATTTTTTTACTTCAAAAGTGACTTTAGTTATTTCTGGGATAATATCCGCTTGCATTATATGTTTTTGAAATTGATAAAATTGATCCGCTGTGACGGGAAAGATAATATTTTTCTGCAATCCCGGCAAAATCCTAAATATCTCCTGCCGTAAAAGACACACCATCATTGTCTTGTGCGATAGCATAAAAAATCTTGAAAAACTCACACGGTCACGGAAACATTAATATCGTCGTCTTTCACTATCGTAGGAAAATCCTGAACGTCTCTCACGGTTGTGTGTACATCAATATCGTCTTCTGCAACCGCGGCAAAATACTGAACATCACCCGTAGCCGTGGAAACATCGTCATAATCACCCGCGGGGTAATGTTCTCGTCGACACCCCAGTGGCGGATCTAGAGCAGTCACAAGGGGGGGGGGGGTGGGTACCCCCCTGAAAAATTTGTGTAAACTCAGTCTCCAAAATACTACTAACCAAGTCTTCATTTGGTGCACGAAATAATAAGTGAAAGTCACTCCAAGCCAGATCTGGACTATAATGAGGGTGGTCGAGGGAAAATCTCCCATTTGGATGAATAAATTTTCTCGTTTGATTGTGTGCCACACGGGCGTCGCCGCCATAGGGGACATGGGGGACACGTCCCCCCCAATATTTGAAAAGTCAGTTTTGTCCCCCATCCCAAATTTTAAAAGGAATTTTTAAAATCATACAGAATGCGTGTTCACCCGATCGATCGCTGCCAGCAAGCAAGGTGCTCGCTTCGCTGTGTGATTCGGAAGCGTTCGACATGGTGCGGTGGTGGAGGGGTGTTCCGATCCACGATCCTCGAGTTGCACTGGATGCCTAGATGCTTGTCTTGAATGTTTTCTCGCGTTTCAGTCTCAGTCAGATGAGTCAGATCCAGATGTCAGACTTTCAGTCCGTTCCGTCACCGTCAGTCGGCAGTGGTTTGATACTACATTTAGATGTAGGCCTTTAACCTTTTTCTCCTCGTGTGCTGCACGAATACTAAAGAATTTTCTAGGATTCGTGGTGTGCTGTATCTGTCGGTAGTATCTGTTATAGTTCATTTAGGTTAGTTGATACTTTTTGGAAGAGTTGATACTTGAAACTTGAACTGTTTATTGTCAAATGAAGCGAGCAGAAAGCCAAAAACAAATTGTTTATATAAAAAACCTGCTTGTAAAAATGTAAGATTGTGGGTTTAAATATTAGTGTTCAAATGTCATTGAATTCAATACTATACATATTGTGACGCATCTAAGAAATGGAGAAAAACTTAAGGTTAAAAAAAACATATCTACTTGCTTGCATGGCATATAACAGGTGAAATGGAAGGTTTTAGGACAATTATTGGGCACAGTTCTAGCCGTTAGAAATGACTTTATAAAGTCACCATACGGCTTTTGGGAGATATGGCTTCGTAGTCTACAGTAGGCCTATGTTTTGAAATTCATGAATGCAAGTTCGTCATAGTTTTATTTTTAAAATGTCTACTTGCTCATGACAAAGACAAATAACAGGTGAAACGGGAGGTTTTTGAACAGTTGGACACAGATATAGACATTAATAATGGCTTTAGAAAGTCAGTAAACAGCTTTTGTGAGGATACGGCCGTAGCCTACAATATTTTTTGAGATTTATGAATGAATGCGATCGTCATAGTTAGTTTTAAAAATGTCTACTTATTCATGACAAATAAAGGGGGAAATGGGAGGTTTTGCACACAGTTCTAGACGTTAAAACTGGCTGTATAAAGTCACCAAACTGCTTTTAGGAGGATATGGCCGTAGTCTACAGCGTGTTTTTAAATTCATTAATGCAATCATCATAGTTTAATTTTTAAATTGTCTATTTGCTCATGACAAACAACAGGTGAAATGGGAGTTTATGGACAATTGGGCATGGTTTTTGGTTTTAAAAATTGCTTTAGAAAGTCACCAAACTGCTTTGAAAATTACAAATTTTTCCGGGGGAGGATCCCCCGGCCTTCTTGAAAAAGAACAATATTATTTCACACCAACAATAATATAACACCCAACAATTTTTACATTTCATTGTTATACATAAAATTGTTGTTATAATTGTTCATATAACAACAATTTTATAACACCCTTCATTATTTCTGTACACTTCACATCCTTGATGATACATTTCTATATAGGCTTTTTACTTTCTCCCCCTATTCAGGGTGACCCAGACCACCTGACGGCTTATGTAGCTCCAATATGAAAGCAAATAGAAACTTATTTGCAACTGGCAGGGCCGGCTTAAGGGCCGGGCAACCCGGGCGGCTGCCCGGGGCGCCGTGGGTTAGGGGGCGCCGAAACGCCGAAAAATTTTTTTTTTTTTTAAATAATATTTTGCACACAATTAATTGTTCTGTTGCGGGGGCGAAAGCGCCCGCCATAAGAGATCATGAAAATAACTTGCATTCTTGCATTACATTTTTAGAACTTAAAGCAACGTAAACTTTGATAATATGGGTCCATAACATAACAGTTGTTTAGTAGTTTTGCATAGGCTACCTCATATAAAATACTAAATATTTACAAGCTTACTCGAGCTCAATACATAATAGCGGCCAGGTTACGTTACGTGCGCCCCACCCCCTTTTAGAATCATAGACTCGTCCGATGACTCATGCAACCAGTGGTGAGTGAAACGTCAAATGGACAGCTCTTAATCCGCACGCTGCGTTGCAGGTTGAATTAAGATTACAATTAATTATACGTATCTAATTGTGTTAAGTGTGTGTGTATGTCATGTGAGTATTTACGTGTGCTACAAACAAATTGGAAATGTCCGGTAATAAAAAACCTTCGGGAGCATTTCACCGCAAAAGGAAACTAGAGCGTTCTAAAGAAGATGAGAAGCAATCCAAAGTGTTGCAAAAGTTCTTGACAACTGCATCATCAAGTGAGAAAATTGACAATACTACAAATAAGGTAACAAAACCCGATGGAAACGAAAAGGAGATATTATCTGAGAATACTTCGCTTCTTCCTGAACCACCAGTTATTGACAAATCCGTTGAAGTAAGTAAAGAGATCATGATATGTGTTTTTATTTTAGTACTTAGGATTAAGGGTGCGCTAGACCTGGGCTCAAAAGTCTCAGCACGATGTTGCTAACCGCCGCTAGGAACGGGGAGTACGAAAATCAGTCGGAACGCTGTACAGTACAGGAATTGGGGGGGGGGGGGGGGGGCGACTGAAAGAGCGGCGCGGACGGAGGGGAAATTGACAAGATGGCGGCGGTAGTCTGGAGCTCCTGTCGCCCCTATTCACCCGCACGCGCATTGTCACACCGATCCGTTCCATCCGCGGCCTGGTCTCCGATCCGGGCATGAGATCGGGGACTTCTTTTACGCTTATTGAGTACCGTAAAACAGAGAACCATTAACACTCGTAATTTGGGTCTATTATTTTTTTTATGTACCTGTAGGTTTCTTTTTTTAAACGTAAATTTAAAAAGGCTTAATTTTTATGTTAAAAATTCAAGCAAACCATTCAAAGGCAAATTTAGTTTGAAAATGTAAATGTCAAGTCACAGTAATTGTGTAATAGTTGTTATGATAATGGTTAACACAGTAAAACATATGGTTTTACATGTGTCTGATATCTCTAGATATTTATCACCAAGTATAATTGTTAATTTCTCCATGTTTATTCCAGTTTATCGAGGTAAATTTATAAATAATGGTTTGATTACGATACTGCTCTTTTAATCCAACTGCATTTTTTTGTGTCCATTTCCATTTAAACTTACCTACATTTGAAATATAAGTATAATTTTACTTTCTCCCCCCTATACATAGTATAAGGAGAAAGTATTGTTTTCGTCAGAATTAACAGTGATCCGGATGATTCGGGCCCGGATAATCCGAGGTTTACTGTAAATGCAAATTTATTTGCTGGTATTTTTTTTGAAAGATAAGATGTGAACGTTAAAATAATTGTAAGCATCAGAGTCTTAACTGCTTGTAGTCAAAACAATTTTGTAAGCCTTTATACAATTTTTATATGCTCGGGCTCGGGCTGGTACTTAATTTTTCTTATTTTTTCGCAGGAACCGAAACCTGTAGAAAACGAAGTTGTATCTCATGATCCCGGAAACTGGCCTGCTAACATACCGACCTCTATTAGCGACATCATCGTACAACGAGGACCTGAACAAGTATTTGATGTAGAATTCCCGGTTAATAATCAAGGACGTCGTTTCAGCGTAAATTCCTACCGTAGGCGCATGGACAATGGTGAAGAAATTTCGCGTCCCTGGCTTGTATACTCAATATGTAAAGACGCAATTTTTTGTTTTTGCTGCAGACTATTTGGTAAAACTCATTCTTCGCCACTGACCTCTGAAAATGGTTACTGTGATTGGAAACACATGTCAGGGCTCTTATCTGAACACGAGGGATCTCCATCACATATGCAAGCATTCCAGACTTGGATGGACTGTTCAATTAGGTTAAAGTCTAGTAAAACCATTGATGCGAAAAACCAGGAAATGATCAAACGTGAAGTGGAGCGGTGGAAAGAAGTTATCAAGCGAATAGTGATTTTAATAGAGTTTCTTGGATCACAAAACCTGGCTTTTCGGGGATCTTCGGACAAACTAAATGAAAGGGGAAATGGAAACTTTCTCAAACTTGTAGAGTTTGTTGGTAAATTTGATGTTGTTATTGCAGAACACATCAGGAAGATTACTTCTAAAGAAACCTATGTACACTATTTAGGAAAGAACGTGCAAAATGAAATAATTAAAATGCTAGGTTCAATGATTCACGATCACATTTTAAGTGATGTCCTTAAGTCTACGTACTATTCTGTCATTTTAGACTGTACACCTGATGTAAGCCGAACAGAACAAATGTCGCTAGTTGTTCGATTTGTGCAATGTGAGTCAGGAGAAGAACCCGAAATTCATGAACGTTTCTTGGGGTTCATCCCAGTTGAATCTACAACTGGAGAAGCTTTGACAGACGTCCTTTTAAACAAGCTTAAAGATATGAAACTGTCATTGAAGAATATGCGGGGACAAGGGTATGACAATGGATCAAACATGAAAGGGAAAAACGCAGGAGTGCAGAACAGAATTCTAACACTGAACCCTCGCGCATTTTTCGTTCCTTGTAGTGCACACTCTTTAAACTTAGTAGTGAATGACTCTGCTTTGTCCTGTAATGAAGCTGTAGGATTTTTCATGATTATACAAGAAGTGTATAACTATTTTTCTGCTTCGACTCACCGATGGTCGGTGTTGAAGAAACATGTGACTTCCCTAACAGTCAAACCACTTAGCGAAACTAGATGGGAGAGCCGTATCGATGCAGTCATTCCTTTCCGCTATCAGTTAGGAGAAATCTTCGACGCTTTGTTTGAGTTGTCAACAGACTCAGCTATTGACGCCTATGGAAGAAATGCTGCATTAGGTCTAGCTCGGAAAGTGAAAAACTACAGATTCATCTGCAGCTTGATAGTTTGGCATGCTATTCTTTCTAGAATAAATGTTATCAGTAAGCAGTTGCAAAAAGAAGACTTCAGTATTGCTAATGCAATTGAACTGATATCTAGTGCAAAGACCTATTTTGACAAGATGAGGACTGAGAAAGGATTTGAAGAAGTTCTAGTTGATGCCAGAGAAGTATCAGAAACAGTTGACATTGAAGCATCTTTTCCTCCTGAACACCAAGTTCGAGCGAGAAAAATCAAACGGCAGTTTGATTATGAAGCACCAGACGAGCCCATAGTGGATCCAAAAAAGGCTTTCAGAAGTAATTTCTATTACCACGTCCTGGATTGTGCAATAAATTCCCTTGAAGAAAGGTTTACTCAGCTGTCCAACTACAATGACGTCTTTGGTTTCTGCTACAACATAAAGAAAGAGGACAAAAGCTTACTGCTAAAAAAGTGTGCCGACCTACAACTAGCTTTAACAGATGGGGACCACCGAGACATTAAGGGGCATCAAATGTACCAAGAACTGTTAGTAGTTCAAACCCTATTGCCAGAAAACTGTGGCAGCAAGCCTATGGACGTATTGAAGTACTTAACGAAAAACAGGTTGTGTGAAAACTTTCCTAACCTGTGTATTGCCCTCAGGATAATATTAACTATACCGGTAAGCGTAGCCTCGGGAGAAAGGAGTTTCTCCAAACTGAAGCTAATCAAAAACTACCTAAGATCTAACATGTCCCAAGAACGACTAGTAGGACTGTCACTAATGTCAATCGAATATGACGTGTTACAAAAAATAGATATAGACACTTTTATTAAGGACTTTGCGGAAAAGAAAGCTCGAAAAGTTTCATTCTAACTTTCATTTATCTCTGTCCGTGTCCGTAGGATTAAGTTTGTTTATGTAAAATAAAATTCTATGTTGAATTATACATTGTTTATAATATCTTCATCTAACCCCGAAAAATACTTTCGAACAACTCTTAAACGCAAAACATACACTTTAATGTTTGCACAAAATTGATGGACATTTTTCTACAATAATTTTTCTATTTTGCTAAAGTATTGTTTTTTTTTTTTACTTAAAACTAATTCAACTAAGTAATATGTTCAAATTGAAAACTATATCACTGAAAATTATTATAAACTCACTGTTAGTTTTAATGCTTCAAAAAACCAGTTGGAGGGTATATTTCTCCCATTGCTTGATTTTGATTCAACCAGGAGCATCACCGGGGAGGGGGGGGGGCGCCAAAACAGCAGTTTGCCCGGGTTAGTATTTTGCCTTGAGCCGGCCCTGGCAACTGGACCCCAAGGTATTCAGCAAAATTATTTTTAAGCTCAAAAAAGCACCCAAAAGGGCAGATTTTGGAGGGGTGGGGGTGGTTTTTGGGAAATTTTCAAATGTGAAGGGGGGTCGGGTTAACCCTCATTTTAAAAGTCTTTGAGTCCTGAGTATTTTAATGGAAAAAGTTTTAAATCATTTGTATTCCTATTTACAAAAACGTAAATAGGATAACACTTCCTATTTTGTTCAGAAACGTACAAAATTATACTTTTCACCACACTATGATGTTTTTGGCTGTTTTACATACATTAATTGGTGGCTGAAAGTTACGAGCTGTCATTGTCATTTGGGGACCGAGCAGGTTTTTACATCCCTAAGGCCTGCAAAATCAGCTGCCCGCTTACTTTCTTAGATCATGAATGCATATTAAATACACAATCAGTATCCATGGCACTGCAATTGAATTGTTTTATTGTCACCCCTGCCTAGCAACTATTTATTATTATTTTTGCTGATACCTCAAATTATCTCTTCACATAACCTTACAGTTGTAGTCGTGCTGACTATCAGTGTGCATTATTATTGTGGTGAATAGTGGTAATAGGGTTATAGTGTGGTGAAAAAAAGCGTTCTTTTAAGTTCTCGACTTAGTCTCGAACTTAAAAACTATCTCGAGCCGGCAAATTCTCATTTTTGGCCCTAGGTACGAAATATACTATTGAACTACTCACTGCAAAGAGGTGAAATTTTGTGGGGAACTTAAATTTTGACAACACTTTAATTGCTAAATGAGCTTTCAAAAAAACTCTGGTTTTAACCCTTTTCCTAACTTTTTACTTATGTTACACATTTTCAAACCTTTTGAAGTTTCAAAAGCTGTTATTTCAAAAATTTCGAATGGCAATATGGGTTTCATCATATACCAAATTGTAGCCCTTAAATTTTTTTATGATTTTGCATCTACATAGTAATGTGTTTTGGTATCTTTATTGGTTAAAGAGCTGTAGCCAAATTAGTGTTTGCTGTTGAAAATGTACACTTCTAGACCTCAATTAAAACTGATTACGTCTAAAAAAATAAAATAATATTATATTGTTATCCTTAGAAGATTTAATAAAGTAAAGAACACAACTGCAAAGATGCTTAGTTATTTTCCAAATCCACAGCTCTACAGTGCTTTGAATGAATAATTTGTTTAAATGTTACTTCTAAATGAAATAATTTTCATCATGAAATCAATGAGCGTGTGCGTGAAACTGGCCATGTTGGATCAGATAAAACACTTATCTGGAACCTATAAGGAACACATATAAGGAACTTACTGGACCTGTACAGGAGAAAAATGCACCTGCAGTAGTAAAATATCAATACTGGTAGCATCTTTTAGTGGAGAAGAAGTACTATCATAGATAAAACATACTCCCTTAGTAGATTTCTCATCCTAATGGAACAGCTGAAGACAATTTTATTGTTAGTTCTGTACGGTTTATGTTAGAGGTCGTGTTTTGTTTACAATTTGTTTCCCGTTAATACAGTCATTTAAAACCTCGTTTAACCAAATAATACGATCTAATCATAAACAATAAATTGTCCCCTAGTTATTTAACCAAACAGTAAAGCACAAATCAAGAAATTAACCCTAAAATAATAGAAACAAAATTTCGTCGACACTAGCGCCCAGTGTGGCGTACATGAACTAGACATGAAAAACGAGCTTCAAAATTTACAATGGGATGAGAAGTCTACTTGTGTTGGTTAGTCTATGGTACTATGTGCCGTTGATTCATTTATGAACAGAGTTGAGTTTTGCATGGAACAAAATGGAAGGCACTTGAGCATTTGTAGAAGTCAAAGAGCCCAGCAGTATGTAGGCTATTAATACTGATTCAAACAAATTAATCATTCAAAGCACTATTAGAGCAATGGAATTGCAAAAAAACTAAGAATATTTGCAGTTGTGTTCTTTCCTTTATTAAATCTTCCAAGTTTAACATAAACGTGTACATTTACAACAGCAAACACTTTGCATACCATTTAATAAACGATTAAAATACACTAATTTCGCTAAAGCTCTTTAACCAATAAGATACCAAAATACCCCCGCCGCAGCAAACCTGCAGACTAAGCGAATTTCCATTTGACTGATTGGATTTACACTGAAATGTCTACTTAAAAATATAACATTTATTCCCGATTTAAATAGAATTAGTTTAACAAGTACTTAGGTTTGCTGCATCAGGGAGGGTAAAACTGTTTTTTTTTGTAAAATGTTAATAGTTAGTAAGAAATAAAAACATTTTCCAAATTTGATCAAAATATGTTCATAAACAAGCAAACTACAACAGTTTACTCATTCTCCATAAGAATAACATGGGAATTTTAAATTTACAATTTTTTGGAATTTTCTCCGTAACCATTAGGCGCATAATAACGCTTCAATATACTAAATTATTTGTTTTTTGAAGCTCTACAAAATGGTTTGGAAATTAATTGCTAAATTTTATGTTTTTTGGGTCAAAATTGGGAAAAACCTATTTTTACCCCATAAAACCCCCCGTAAACACCCGTTCCCATGGTCCGATCATGCTGGATCGCGAACTCGTTCGAATAGACGTAGGTTTACACGTTTGTACCAAATTTCATCAAAATCGGATCATTTTTGCTCGAGTTATCGTGCTGACCAACGATCACATAAGACCAATAGATGGAGCACGCCTATCTAACTAACATTAAAGCAGGTGAAGCCAGGTCCGCCATCTTATTGTAGGATAGAAGCGCTAGATGTCGATGAAAACGGCACCAAAACTCAATGTTCCGCTTCAAAATAACTCGACATTTAGCCTACTTAGACTTAAGTTATATGGTTGAAACTTCGTATGAGTGAAGTCAATAAGTCTATGACACTATTGGTTTTAATTAAAAGCTTAAAAGTTAGTATTTTCTATTTTAAATCTTCAAATAAAGTCGGTACTTTTAAATGGGTTTTAAAATATGACATGAAAAAGTTCGTCGGCTGCTACTTTTTTTATTTTTTGGTCAGGTAAGTTAAAAAACGGTGGATTTTGTAGCTAAAGAGTTGAACCTTTTGGATCATATTTTTTAAAATTTTTAGCTAGCGTAGTTTGGTTGTAATTTAAATTGTAATATAGGGGCTACCCGCCGCGCCGCGTGGCGTCATGCGGGCAGATTCGGCCTACAACGTCACTTGTAATACAGTTTAGATACTCAAATTTGGAGCTATACAGAAAAGTTACTAAACTAATTAGAAAAACACGGATTACATATAACTTTTCTTCGTTTTATTCTTTGTATTCATCTAAAAATTAATATTTTTTAGCTCTTTCATAAAAATTAATATGACAGTCAGAATATAAAGGAGAGTTGTATAAAGAGTTTCAGAAATTATCTTGTCACTTTGAAAATTCGTAGATTGTAAACCAAACATCAGAACTTTATCAAACTTTAATACGATGTAGATACATATATTATAAACAGATTTGTAGCTTTTCAGAATTTTCCTTTCTCCCAAAAAGTTTTTGTTGTTAATTATGTAAACTAACTTTTTTCTAAGAAATGGTAAACGCTAGAAAAAAAATCAAAAGCGTATTTTGAAGGTCATTGTGTTAGTAACACAAATATTTGTAATACAAAGGCGTATTGTCATGGATACCATTGCTATCAACTAACATTTAATTAGCTGCACGTGCTACTAGGGCTCATCACAGCCGGCAGCCGCCATCTTGTTGTAGATTAGTGAAAAATACTGGCTTCACGTCGCGGCCAACATGCTCCATCTATTGGTCTTATGTGATCGTTGGTGCTGACGGACACATATATATATATGAATTTGAACGGATGGTGTTTTTGGCCTCTAGGGACCTCAAAACGAAAAAAAAAATCGGTCCCGCGTCCAGGTCTTACCATGAGTACTACGGTAATAGCTTATTCCCTATATGGGAAATTCGCTAAAACATTAGATGAAAAAATTGTAACAAATTTTAAGGGCTACAATGTGGTGTATGATGAAACCCATATTGCCATTTGAAATTTTTGAGACAACAGCTTTTGGAACTTCAAAAGGTTTGAAAATTTGTAACATAAGTAAAAAGTTAGGAAAAGGGTTGAAACCAGAGTGTTTTTGAAAGCTCATTTAGCAATTAAAGTGTTATAAAAATTTCAACCCTCCACAAAATTTCACCTCTTTGCAGTGAAAAGTAGTTCAATATTTTTTGTACGTTTTTGAACAGCCTGTAAATAGGGATAAAAATAGTATAACTTTTTCCACTAAAATACTCAGGACTCAAAGACCTTTAAAATGAGACATAAAACGACCCCCTTTACTTTTGAACATTTCCCAAAAACCACCCCACCCCCCAAAATCTGCCTTTTTGGGTGCTTTTTTGGGTTTAAAAAAAGATTTTGCCGAATTCCTGGGGGCAAAATAGGGAGTTCCAGTTGCAATTAGGTTTCTATTTGCTTTCATAATATTGGAGCTATAGAATCCGAGGTGGTCTGGGACACCCTGTCCATAGTACATGGAGAAAGTATTGTTTTCACCAAAATTTTTGAGTTTTGAGTGGATATTTGTTTTGGGGCTCCCTGAACCCAAAAAAGTGATTTTCAAAGTGATGTCTGTGTGTGTGTGTGTGTGTGTGTGTGTGTG